GTTCTTTCGGCAGGAGCCCCGTCCGCGCCCCTGCATGGCCGCGGCCGTGGAGCTGGTGGGGCTCGGCGTGCGGCTGGCCGAGGTCTGGCTGCTGCGCGGGCCGGCCTGCCCCGCGTGCCCGGCCTGCCCGACCCAGAGCTGCACGCTCACGTGCAGCGGGCCGGCCACCTCCTACACCGAGCCCGCCGAGGCGCCCGCGCACGCCGCCGCGCCGGGCTGGCTGGCGGTGTGGCTGGCCGCCGCGGCCGGGGCCGTGGGTGCTTGGGCCATCGGGCGCCTGCGGCTCTTCGCCAGGCCGCCCGCCGCCCGCGCCGAGCCGTCGGCCCCGCCGGCGCTGCTGCCGGCGCTCGCGGCCCCAGCGGCTCCCGCCCCTGGGACGGCCTGCCAGGCTCCTGCACCAGGGCCCGTGACGCCGAGTCAGCGGCGAGCCCGCTCGCTGGAGCAGGATGGATCGTAGAGTCCCAGATGTCCCGGAGGCGCAGGTCCTCATCGACTTCATGGACGACGAGAACGGGCTGCGGTGGCACGCGCGGCTACTCATCATCCAGACGCCCACGCCAGGGGTCTGGATCGGCAGCACTCCCGACTTCTCGGTCCAGCGGATCGACCTGAATGTGCATCGTGTGATCGCCCTCGCCCGGGGACAGCCGCACCCCCCGGCGCAGTGGGCGGAGTCGTACGTCTTCGACAACCCCATCCCCGACGCCGACCTGACGCGCGTCAGGCAGCAGGCGGCCGCCCTGGCCGCCGTGCTGGGCCAGGCGCCTCCAGCGGGCCCAGCGGCCCCGGGCGGCGCGGGGGTGTGGCGAGTGGCCGACCCCGCCGCTCGCAGCTTCGGCGACGAGGTGCCGGCCCAGATCCTCTCGGACCGCGCCACCTTCATGACGCCCGAGGCGGCGGCCGACGAGGAGTACCTGAGCGGGCTCGTGCTGATCGACAACTGCTGGACCTTCTGCCAGCTCGTGGCCGACGACGACCGTGCTGCCTGGGAGCGGGCGCTGGTTTCTGGCAATCGACGGGACGATCGCGTGACAGGCGACGCCCGCGAGCCCGTCTCAGGCCGTCGCTTCATCTCTTTCGCCGACTCTTTCGGGCTGCAGCACGCGGCGGCCGAGCCGCCCTTCCCCTTGAGCGGCAGCCGGGTCACTCACGAGTTCGTGAAGACGCTCCGCGCCACAGGCATGGAGTGGATGTCGCACCACCTGGACTTCATCCACAAGTCGGGCATCTCGCCCAACAGCAACATCACGCGTGCACATCGTAGGCTCACAGAGGCGTTGCACGCCTTCCAGCAGCAGGACATGTTGAACCTGCCCAGCCTCTCAGGGGTTGAGATCCTGGTGCGCTACCTCGTGCAGATCGAGATGGCGGTGGCCCGCAACCCTCGGAGCCCCGACTTCCAGGACCTGGACGCGGTGGTGGCCTCGACAGTCAATGTGTATGGCGGCCTCGTCCTTCCCGAGTACTCGAAGTACATCGCTCAGATCCAGAAGGACGAGGCCTTCACTTTGAAGCAGCAGCGGCAGTGGCGCGAGGAGCAGTCCACGCGCTCCCGCGGCCGTGGCTCAGGCGACGACGCAGGCGGCGGCGCTGGCGGCGAGGACGGCGGCGCTGGGCGCTTCCGGGGCCGCGGGCGCGGCCGTGCAGGTGGTGGCGGACGCGGCGGTCGGGGTGACGCCCCGGCCGCCGCGCAGGGATGACTCCTGTCGCGCGGGCTGCGGAGAGACGGCGCTCGCCCCGGCGCCGTTCGGCCAACGACACCTCCGCAGTCCGCTTCGCAGGCGGGCGCACGAGGGGGCCTGATGCCGAAGGGGCTCTTCGTTTTTTGACAGGTCGCGCTCACGGCGACCCCTTTCCTCTGCCGCTCCTGGGCAGATCGACGCCGAGGGAGGTGCTGCCCCTGAGCCTCTCCTCCGGCGTACGGCGGCGGTGCAACCAGGCGATCATGGCTCTGAACGACCTGGACGCCCCGCTGGCGGCTGCGCGGCGACTCGCCTCGGTCCTCCCGGCGAACGCCGCCCAAGCATCTGTACTGCAGCGCGTCCATCAGCGAGTGGCCGCCTTCGGCGACCCCATCGGCGTGGACGGTGATGACGCGCTCTGTTCTCTCCTGAAGTCCAAGGACGTCTACAGCGGCCGGCCGACCCCAGTTCGGCCTTATGAGCCGCGCCTCCTCAAGGTTCTCGACAGCGGCATCTCGCCGCAGCCGATCCGCTCGCTGGTGCCGCCCTGGCTGCTACCGCTGATCAACGAGCCGGAGAAGCACATCTTTCGGTCGCAGGCGGTCCTCGACAGCATGGTGGAGGCCGGCGAGCTCCCACCCATCTACCCCTACTGGGATGCGAACCTGCGGCGGGACCCGGTCCTGCGGCTGGGCCTCTTCAAGCAGCTCATGCGCATTGGCCTCGTCGGTGTGCGCACGCGCTGCCGTGCCCGCGCCAGCATCTTCTTCGTTGGCAAGAAGGACGGCTCGCTGCGCATGGTGATTGACGGCCGCGAGCCTTCGGCTCTGCATCGCCGCCCGCCTCGGACCGAGCTCGGTTCGGCGGCGGCCCTCAGCGGCCTCTGCCTCGACGCGGACTTGCTGGGCAGCGACGGGCAGGGCTACCACGGGGCCAGCGCTGACCTGCGCCAGGGCTTCTACCAGATGCAGTGGCTCGAGATTGGCAGCTGGTTCTGTTTCGACTACCCCATGCCCATCCGCAACTTCGACACGGATCAGGTGTACGACGAGGTGCACCGCCGCTTCGTGCAGGTCGATCCCGACACCGTGGTCTACCCGTGCTTCCAGGGCCTCGCCATGGGCTGGAGCTGGTCGCTCTTCATCTGCAACGGCATCACCGAGGACGTCACTCGCGTCGGCATCAGTCGGGCGCTGTGCATCGCGCCCGAGGAGGTCAGGATGGTCTCCGAGCGCTCCCCCTGCGCGCGCCTCGGCGCGGGCGAGCTCGCTGGGGCCTCCTACGTCGACAACGCCAATGTCGTCGGGTCGCCGCGCCGCCTGGTCGACGCGGCGCTGGAGGCTATCCTGCTCGAGTTCGAGCGCCGCGGCCTGGCCTACCACGAGGTGTGCTACGCCACGCGGGACTTCGTCTGCTGCGGGGTTCGGTTCGACTTCAGCGACGGCCGCGCGGTGCCGCAGCGCGAGCGGGCCTGGCGGCTGCATCGGGCGGTCACCGCCCTGATCGACCGCCGCGGCTGCACGCCGGCGGCCATGGAGGTTGTGCTGGGGCACGTCGTGCACCACTTCATGCTCATGAGGCCGGCCCTCGCTGTCCTGAGCTCCTTGTACCGTGTCGTGTATGCGCCGGGCGACTACTGCCACTTCGACGCCGAGCAGCTGCGCGAGCTGGGGCTTGTCAAGGCCCTCATCCCGCTCGCTGGTGTCGACCTCGGCGCACCATGGCACCCGTGGGCCTACTGCTCTGACGCTAGCCTGTGGGGCTACGCCCTGGCCACTTCACGCTTCGACGAGAGCGAGCTCAGGGACATCGGCGCCTACCGCGAGCGCTGGCGCTTCGTCGCCATCGACCGCCACGCCGATGACCCGGGCGATCCGCCGGGTACTGAGGTTGCCACGCAGGCCGGCTTTACTGCCGGCAGCGAAGACGCCGCTGTGTTTGCCGGGCTGGATTTGCCGCCCCGTGCGGGTCGGTCGTCACCGCGCCTGGCAGCACGGCGGAGCCGAGCGGCTCGGGTCGACGTGGAGGCGCCGGCCTCCGCCGCCTGCAGGGGCGGCATCCCGGCGCTGCCCGACGCCGCCCTCGCAGCTCACAGGTGGCAGCTGGTGGTCCGCGGCGCCTTTCTCTTCTCGGCCCCGATCCACATCCTCGAGGGCCGGACGACGCTGCTGGGCCTCAGGCGGGCCACCCGCTCCGTGGCGGCTCACGGCTGCCGCGTGCTGTCCATCGGCGACAACCTCTCGTCCATGATGGCCTTCGAGAAGGGCCGCTGTGCCAACCCGGTGCTCCGCCAGCTGGCCTGCCAGGCTGCCGCGCGGCAGATCGCCACTGGCATCCAGCACTACCATCGGTACTTGGAGAGCAGCCGCAACCCGACCGACCACGACTCCCGGGCGGCCGACCGCTTCGAGCTCGAGCCGGGCCAGACGCAGCGCGGGGCGCCGCGCGACCTGGCCCCGGCGCCCCCCCCAGCGCCGGCCGCCTCGCCGGCCGGCGGCGCGGGCCCGCACCGCCTGGGCGCCCGGCCGCGAGAGCGGCGCCGGGCCCGCCACGTGCTCGAGCTCTACGCCGGCTGCGCCCGCCTCACGGCCGCCTGTCTCGACGCGGGGCTGCAGTCGTGGGTCCCAGTCGACATCTCGCGGGGGCCCTGGCACGACCTGTCCGACAAGCGCATCATCAGCGTGATCCGCTCCCTGATCGTGCGCCGGGACGTGTGGTACGTCCACTTCGGCACGCCGTGCACCCCCTTCAGCCTGGCCACCCCGGCGCGCAGCCGGGCCAAGCATTTTGCCTCTGGTAGTGCTTCGGTTTCGTTCACCATAGACATGCTTCGCCTGTGTGAGCGATTTGGCGTGCGCTGGTCCGTCGAGAATCCCTCTTCTTCACGTCTCTGGCATTCTCCCGAGGTCACATCTTTCTTGGATCGTCACTGTCACTACTTCGTTCATATGCATTATTGCCACTACAACTGCCGCTACCTGAAGCCCTCAACCCTTGTCACCAACCTGAAGCCGCTTCAGGCCCTCGAGGCCAGCTGCTCCCGTGATCACGTTCACGAGGTCCTTGCAGGCAAGGTTCGTCTGGGTCCCAAGAGTGCCTCCGTCTGGAAGACCAGCCTAGCCGGGCGCTATCCGGAGGCGTTGGCTCGGAAGTGGGCAGGCATCCTCCGCGAATGCGCTCCCGCGGCAGGCCGTCTCGATGGTGCTCGCCCTGAATGCCGAGGGGAGGCTCAGCTGGCAGCCGCCGCCGAGTGCGACGACTGGACGCGCACGCCAGACCCCGTCTGCCCCGCCGCGGGCCACCAGGAGTGGTCGCCCGACCAGCTGGGCTGGGGCAGCTGCGCGGCGCAGGCGAGAGCGGCCGAGCGGGATCGCCGCCGCCGCTTTGCCCCAGCGCCCCGGCACGGAGTCGCGGCACCCCCTGGGCCGCGAGGCCCCGCGCCGCCGCTCGCGCCTGGCTGTGGGCTCGCAGCGGGCCGCCAACAACGACGTGGCCCGCGAGGACTTCCTGGCTCGGCGCCGCGTGAAGCCCCTGACCCAGCAGCACTACGCCCGGGCTGCGGCCGAGGTCCGGCGCTTCGCGATTCAGCATCGGTACCCGCTGGCCACGCCAGCTCAGAGAGACAAGCTGATGGTGGACTACCTGCAGAGCATCTTCCTGGCGGGGGACGGGATCTTCGCCGCGCGGACCGCCCTCTACGGCTACGCGTTCGAGGAGCAGGTCAACCTCAGGGACGTCACGGAGTTCCCCCAGGCCCGCCTCACGCTGAAGGGCTTCGCGAAGGCGTCGCCCGGCGAGCAGAGGGACCCCTGCCCCTGGGAGGCGGCGCTGCTGATCATCGATCAGTGCCTCACCTCCCACTGCCCGCGCCAGCAGCTCGTGGGGGCCGGCGTCGCCGTGGCCTTCGACGGCTACCTGCGCCTCTCGGAGCTGCTCCACCTGAAGGCCTGCGACGTGACCTGCCTCCGCCACTCCGCGACGTCGGCCTACCCCCAGGTCTCGATCACCTTGATGCCGGCCGCCCCGGCGGACTGCCCTCCGTCTGTGACGACGAAGGCCGGCGAGTACGACGACACGGTTACCTTCGGCGGCATCGGCAGCGCCGGCATCTCGCGGCGCTGGGTGGCCAAGCTCCTGCGGGACCTCAAGGCCACCACGCCGCCGACCAGACCGCTCTTCCCGTTCAGCCACCGTGAGTTCGAGGTCGCCTTCCGTGAGGCGGCTGACGCTGCCGGCTTGCAGCGCCTCCGTCTCTGCCCGCACTCCCTTCGGCACGGCGGGGCCTCGACGGATTTTGCGCTGAAGCATCGCTCCCTGGCGGAGGTGCAGCGTCGGGGCCGCTGGAAGTGCGCCGCCAGCGTGCGACGCTATGAGAAGGCCGGCCGCCTCACACGCCAGCTCGCCAAGTTGTCCCGAGGCCAGCTGTCAGATGCCGCTCGTGTCGGCAGGAGGCTGGCCGCCAAATCTTCTTTCGTCTTCGGCGGCCGCTCAGAGAGGTGAGCTGTCCTGCTCACCAGCTCCCGGTATGGGCGGATATGGGCTTTGTTTCAGCATCGCTTGTGTGCACGTGCAATGTTCTGCGTTTCATAGCGATTGCCTCTTGGATGATGGCCGCCTTCGGCGGCACGATGCAGGCTGTGGAAAACACGTTTTCTCTGCACTCGGCTTCGCCGTGCACCGCCGTCTTCTCTGGTCGAGCGGGGTTAGGCTTTCAGCATAATGACTTTCTTTGAAGATAATTGTGCCTCATCTCTCACTTGAGCTCGACCGCAACTGCGTGTGCTCAAGTTCTTTCGGCACCGTCCGCCATCGCCCTCCCCCACCTGGGCTTTGTTTCAGCATCGCTTGTGTGCACGTGCAATGTTCTGTGTTTCATAGCGATTGCCTCTTGGATGATGGCCGCCTTCGGCGGCACGATGCAGGCTGTGGAAAACACGTTTTCTCTGCACTCGGCTTCGCCGTGCACCGCCGTCTTCTCTGGTCGAGCGGGGTTAGGCTTTCAGCATAATATATATATATATATATCTCTGCTTGTGTCTGTTGCTTTACTCGCTCTCTCTCTCTCTCTCTCTCTATCTCTCTCTCTTTCTCCCTTTTTTTCTCTCTCTCTCTCTCTCTCTCTCTCTATCTCTCTCTCTCTCTCTAGCTATTATATCACTCTCTCTCTCCTCCCTTTTTTTTTCTCTCTCTCTCTCTCTCTCTCTCTTCTCTCTCTCAATCTCTCTCTCTCTCTCTCTTGCTCTCTCTATCATTTTCCCTCTCTCGTCTCTTCTCCTTTCTCTCTCTTCTCTATCCTTCTCTCTCTCTCTCTCCTCTCCCTGGAACTCTCTATATATATGCTCTCTCTTTTTTGCCCTCTCTCTCTCTCGTCTCCCTCTCTCTATATCTTTCTCTCCCTCCTCCTCTCTCACTCGTCTCTCAATTGTTATTTCTCTCTTTCTCTTTCTCTCTCTCTCTCTCTCTCTCGTCTCTCGTCTCTCTCTCTCAAACATATATATTACAATCTCTCTATATGTATCGCCTCTCTCTCCCTCTTCTCTAATATATATAATATATCTCGCGCTCTCTCACCCTCCTCTCTCTCTCTATCTCTCTCCTCTCTTTCCTCTCCTCTCTTTTGTTCTCTCTCTCTCTCTCTTCTTTTCTCGCTCTTTATTCTTTTTTTTTCGATCTCCTCTCCTCTCTCTCTTCTATCTCTCTTTCTCTCCCTCTCTCCCCTCCCTTTCTTTTCTCTCTATCTCTCTCTCTCTCTCTCTCTCTCTCTCTCTCTCTCAGTTCTCTCTCTCTCTCTCCATATATATATATACACACATACATACATACATACATACATACATACATATGTTGTCTCTCTCTCTCGCCTCCCCCGCTCTCTCTCTCTCATCTCTCTCTCTCCCCCTCCCTTTCTCTCTCTCTCTCTCTCTCTCTCTCTCTCTCTCTTCTCTCTCTCTCTCTCTCTCTCTCTCTCTATGTATCTTTCTCCTCTTTCTTTTTTCTGCGTTGCTTCTCTTTCCCCCTCTCTGGTAATTCCGTTATCGATCGCTCTCTCCCTCTCTCTCTCTTTCTCCTTTTGTCTCTCCTCTTTCTCTCTCTCTCTCTTTCTCTATCGCTCTTTTTCTCTCTCTCTCTCTCTCTCTCTCTCTCTCTCTTTTCTCCTCTCTTTCTCTCTCTCTCTCTCTCTCTCTCTCTCTCTCTCTCTCTCTCTCTCTACTAGTTCTTCTTATTATCACCTTATATGTGTCTATGCTTATCTCTCTCTCTCTCTCTCTCGATTTCCCCCCCTCCTCTCTCTCTCTCTCTCTTTCTCTTTCTTTTTTTGTTTTTTCTCTCTCTCTCTCTCTCTCTCTCTCCCTCTCTCTCTCTTTTCACTATCTCTCCTTCCCTCGGATCCTGGTCTTTCGGTTGGCCTGTTTGGCTTGGCTGCTTTCTGTAGTCATTTTGGTTCAATTAGCTTTGCACGTTCTGCCCCAACCTCTTCTCAAGTTTTCTGGGAACACACTCTCATGCTTGCCCCTCAGAGGGTTGTCAGGCCATGGAATTCAAAGTCGCTCCAGTGCTGTATCTTCGAGGCATGGGCATCCGCCTGCCCACGTGCACTGGCAATCGAAAGTTCCGAGATCGTTCCTTTAAATTCAGGATCGTACAACCCACGGAGATGTGTCACACTCCACATGTACGAGAGGGGACGCGAATTCGAGATACCTCTCAGGCAGCTATGGAATCTCTTTGAGGCCTTCTTCTCTAGTAAGGCATGCAAAGACCTTATTGGGATTGTGGGAATTGCAGTACGCTCTATGTCTTTTGTACAGATCAAGACAATGTCATACAAGGGCGCCGTGTTCTACGACAATCGCTGGTCAGATCCTGGGAATTTCATTTACACCGTCTGGTGGAACATTTGGGGCCAAATGGCCAGGTATCTTCAAAGAAGACAACCTACCAGTGCTTCGTCCAAGTCCATTGAGGAGCTTCGATCAATCGCTGGTCGTGCCACCGATGTACAGAGGATGGTCCGAGAACGGTGGAACAGGGAACCCGAGGTTAGAGCTCATCGGAGATTTGATGGAGTTAGGGTTGGGAGCGGGGCATGTTGAGCCTGATCGGTTCTGGAACATCATTCAGGGGATTTCTCCCATCATCTGCTCCATTCGGTCCATTTTGACGTTTGCTGATCAACATGGGTCTTTCGCTAGGACCGGGAAAGACCGTCGCCTTTTTCGTGGCCCATGTGCTCCCCACACTCGGAAGTTCGCCGTGGCAATGTTCCACGGAATGCAAGTGCGCAGATTTAATGTGACGGAATCCTCAGAGGCATGGGTATCTTATCTGATTGCAGCCTCAGAGAACAGGCTCCAATACTAATGGAGCGGGGGTATTTGACACCCCACGGAATTTACATTTGGGTATGTTTCGAGACCTCTTTGTGTTCTCTCTCTCTCCTTGCCTCCCGCCTTCGGGATTGGCTGACACCAGGAGATGTCACTTGTGCGATTCTATCTGGGACCCGCCTGATCTCTGCGATCTCAGGGACACCGTGGCTTCGCAACAATCCCGCCTCCCTCTGTCCGCCTCTGGTGGGCCCTTTCTTGTCCTTTGCCTCCTGTCGCTCCCCTGCAGTCTCGGGCTCAAGCTTTCGGTATGCTACCTCCCAAGGCGTCAGACCCTCACGTTATCTTTCAGGGGAAGCTTTGCAGGTCTAAACGCAAAGTCTGCTTCCTGTCCAAACAAGACCTTGAAGCACTCTCATACTGCTCTACGCTGCTATTCCAAAGGGCGGTCAAGTTGCCTGCTCGGTTCCTTATACCTTCGGACCTTGGTGGTCCACATCTCACATATGACTGGTGCAAAATTCCGCTCTTCAAAGCTTGTCGGGACAGCGGCTTTAATAGACTGTATGTAAACGTTAGGGGACCTGACGAAAGGGTTCGGAGAATCCCTTGGAAAGAACTGGCTGTTGGTCAGTAGCCGTTTCGCCTCAAACCCTGACGGAACTCTTGTCCGAAACGGCTGGGAACATCCATATACAATTCAGGGGATGGTCAAACGCAGCCTTCCAGCCAAGCTAGCAGCCAGGAAGCGTCTCAAGTGGATACACGGCTCAGGTGGAATGTGGAACTACTGTGAAGAGGAAAAAGTCTACACCAAAGTCTGGTACACGGAGTACTATGATACGTGGTTCGACCCTGAATCTGGCTGGCCTCACCCAGTGGTTTGGTACCTGTCTGACTACTGGTGGGACGGAGACTTCTTTGTGGAAAAGTGGCGTTGGAAGTATCCGTGAAGACCTCTCCTGGGACTCCCACAGTCTGAACCTCTTG